TCTCCCCACTCTCGGTCGTACCAGGGCATTTGGGTTAGATATGTTAAACTTAATCAAAACATATTTGTTAATATATAGAATAGATACAGACTTACAAAATTTTATTATTTTCAACTTTATGATAAATAAAAATATTATTACCAGAAGGGTTTTTGTGTAAATATTATAGTAATTTTAGTTGTTGAGATCATGAATCTATTGAAGTGAGATCACTATAGAAAACCTCAGCAGTGTGTATTCACAATCCTGTGTGCGAGACCAATAGATTCTGGGTTCAAATCTTGCGAGGTGGGATCGTGATTGTGCATTGATGAAGAGTTTCACAACAGAACGAAATGGCTGTTCAGTACTTCTAGGTTTTCCATGGTGGTCTAGCTTTTATTGATCTTAATTATGAAAAATATTATTCATATAGAAAATGAACGATTGATTCACATTTATTTATACTTTAATGGTGTAAATTACAATTTTACAATTGCTATGATGTAGATATTAACAACAAACAGAGTAATATAGGTAATATCAGAAGGGGTTTCGTGGAGATTTTAGTAATTTCAATAATTGAAATCATGAGTCAATTGAAGCTAGACCACCATGAAAAACCTGAAAGCACTTCAATTGACTCATGATTTCAATTATTGAAATTACTAAAATCTTTACAAAACCCATTCTGATAATAATCATCTGCTCACTAGTGACTGACTTCAAGAGGCGTTTCCTGGAGTTCTAGTGAGAAGCCGTGATCAGTGGAGCTCAACCAGATGTGTTGTGAGATATCAGTTCATTGAAGACAATGGTGACAGTGGCGCCATTTCGTGGATTAGTTGAAGTTAGACATTAACACCGTTGGATGTCGGTTCCGTGGTCTAATAGTTAAACGCTCGCACGTGAGACTGACAGGTTTTTATAAATAAAAATTATCAAATCAAACCTTGGTAATGACACCTACATGACAGGTTTTTAGTTCGAATCTCGTGGGGTGCGCAATCGTGGATGCGCTCTGCTGAGGACTCCCACAATAGGACGAAACGGCTGTCCAGTGCTTCCAGGTTTTCCATGGTGGTCTAGTTTCAATTGAATTGTGATCTCAACTATTGTAATATAAGTAACACTAAACATTTATTCATTAAGACACATAAACATAATACATATTTATGTGTATAGATTATAGAGATTTATTCAATTTGAAGTTAGTTTTTAATTATAACTTAAGATCAACTGAAGAAGTAATATTAGAAAAAAACATAGAAATATTGTATACATATTTCGTACTCGTTTGTAAAATCCACAATAGTATGCGCTTACTAAAATATCACACGATATACGATTTAGGTCATTGTGATTCTATGTTCAAATATTTCCCTCTTTTTTTTTTCAAAAAAAAATTTACTTATAAAATATTCACTATTTAATGTTCAATAGTTTTTAATATTAATAATAATTGCTAGATATGTATAACTGTACAATAGAAATTATCAGATGATAGCTAATATCATGCAATAATTTATTGACTATTATTCACTATGGATACAATGATACAGTGTGATACATTTATTAATTAAGTTTCAACAAACTATTTTGAAACTAGGCGATAAATTTGATTCATTAAAACGGTTTGATTATTTTAATGTGTTACAGTGAATAGTTTATTAATCATAAGTGAAATTATATTTAAAAAATATATTCTAACACAATAGAATAGGTAAAGATCAATAAAGTGTAGGTGTCTAATGGTAACTGTTATATCCTGATGAGAATAATAAATGGTAACTGTTGGAATCTATTTCTGGATTAATATTATACATATATTTTTACAGTATAATTGTTACAGGACTAAATTATTCATATTTGTGCTCCTCTTATCATAAGATTTATTTTAACTCATAGATTAGTATCACACGAACTACTATTCTTGAGTTATGCCCACTTTATTCATTACAGCCTAACACAATCACAGACACAATCTCTGACTAGAACTTGTACAAATGTTAGTTTCTAATTTATAGTACGATGTGATCGGTTTGGTTTGAATATAAATCCAGTATGTTTGAGATACATGATTGATATCGTTGAGGTTGAGATTGGTGTTGTCACTGCCTTCTCGTGGCGGGGGTGTTGTTTACGAAAATAAGAGGACGAAAAGCGAATGTCCGGCGCTTTAACCGGATTCCAAACCAATGGTTCACATGGGCTCCAGTATCCTGAGGGAACAAATGGCGTATGAACCAATCGTTGGTCACCGGCTTCCATGGGACTGCATCTCCTTACGTTGTTCCACTGCCTTGTGGATCATACCTTCAGGTCGAAGGCTCGGGGAGTGACTCCCTAAGAAATCCACCTGCTTCGGTTTGGGCACCCGGGCAGTATCACAGCCCTCATATCTATCAAATGAGATTTGTGTGGCGCATATATATTTGGTGCCTCATTGTACAAATGTTTATGTGTTAAAATGATTCTAGATTGCTCATATGGGTTTTATGCATCAATGGTGCGGTCGATTAATCACTGTTCTCTAATTGGTGGTATCATTTCTTTATGTATTAATGGGACACAATGCCACAATTTATAACAGTAACCTGTAGTAAAACAAAGAAGACATCAATAGAAAAGTCAGAAGCATTGATGAAATACTTGCTTCATTTCATCTGGTGTCTTAAAACTACCATCAAGAAGAATGATCTTGATAAATCACTTAATCAGTGAGTTTGAAGTCAGACAGAGTTCATAGCCAGGTTTTAATCTGTTGGCTAAAGATTTTCATAGTGCTCAGTTTTATGATTTGATAAACCTTTTGATTCGACTTGAATTCAATATTGTTTTTAAGGATGTGACATTAAAGTGTAACTGATTTTATTCAAACAAACTGTTTTGATGGGTACTTTAATTCTGGTCTAAGCTGAATAGGATCGATTGAAATTTATTAAATGAATTCGTAACCACCTTTTGTTTTATGATTAATAGTGTTTTCACCAAACAGAATCAAACACATTTTTTTTATTCATTATATTAGCATTGATATTGAAGCCAGGAAATATTTAACTGATTAAAAAAAATACCTTACAAATAAGTCGCAACATTTTTCTATCAAAAATTCTTCATCACTAATTAGTGTTTATTAGTCGTCATTAATATATATTAATGGACCTGTATCTGAGTCTAATTAGATTGTATGGTGATTGTTATGGAAACATACATGCCGTCAAACCCTCTTACATATAACTAAGTCAAACATGAGAATGCATTTTGAATACGTATATTTTGTGCACTCATTGATCTGAACAGACAATCAAAGAATTGAAGTGAAGCGAGACGAGACGAGGTGAAGGACAGCTGATAAGGCGAGTGGGCCAAATTGATCAAGCATGACTTAATGTTTAGTCAGATACAAATAGGTCACAGACATGTGATGAGCAGGATAAGCAATGCACACACATACGCTCATATAAAAACAGACAATATTGATAAGCGAATTGGTGACAAGGTCAAAATGTGATTCAAGAAGACTAATAAATAATTCTGTCCGGAAGCTAGAATAACCTATGCAGAAGTGACGGCACTAAATGCTACAAGCCTTTACTAATAAATCATTTATCTAGAGAATTTGATTTATTGAACAAGCTCTGTAAATTACCTATTAGAACTCGGTTACTTTGTTATGTAACATCTAAATCATGTTTACAAAATAAGCTTACTGTAGTAATTAAGATGAAATGTAAGTTATTTATGCGAGTATGCAAAAACGAACTGGTTACGACGATTCATCTAGCCTAATGAAATGTGAGTTGGAAATTAAGTGTTTTCTATGGAACCTACACCTTGATTAATTGCATACTAAAACATGAATCTTATATTGATGCAAATAACTGATCGTGTCTAAAGAAAATATTTAGTGGGATCAACGAACTAGTTCCATTAAACTAAAAAGTTTTTATCAGTACTTGTATTATCTTGTGAACCATGGAGTAATGAGATAGTCAATCCTCAATGGTTTAACTGGACTACATTATAACCTTTTAACCTAAACGATTTTAGTCTATTTTAAAAAGAATATTGATAAGAATTAAGGTAAACTTCTAGTATTAAGACTGACTTCATATACACGCAGCAAATGTATTCAAGCTAAGTTTAGAAAATCGACAAAATACATGCTAACATACATATATTCGATTCGGATAGGATACGTGAGGACTAGTGATAATCACTTGTAGCAGAAGCTGGTTTGGATGAACTTGATGAAGAACCTATTATCCAGTGGTTGGAAGTCGAATATTTTAACCATATAGTCGCTGGTCTGTTGGTACTGGAGTGAAGTGAGTAGTCATGGTATACAGCTAAGTAGTCTGTTGAACTGCAAGTGTTGTCTTTGAACAATAAACGTGCAAACTTGCAAAGCCACAGTTGGGTCTATTCTGTAAATTGAGTGTTCGAACACATCGATGTTGAGTTTAGCCCAAAACAAGCAATCCAATCAATTCGTGTTTAAATAAGCAATTCAATTGGCAGACTGTGCATACTAGTGTCACCAATGTTCAAGGAACACTAGTTCTTAACGTTAATGCGTCAGGAACTGCAACAAACGAACATGACAGTGACTACCAAAGTAAAAACGGATTGCATCACGAACGGCTGACTGAAAAGTTAATCAGATATATTGCAAATAGTTCGACAGAATTTGACCGGGGACAAGTATTAGATGATTTGATTCAGTAATCCATAATATCTGAATCTTACAGATCAGTTATGGCATAAGTGATTGGGTAGATTCGAACTACGTGGTGAACGTTAATTCACCGACGGTTTCAAATACAGCTTGATCAAGAGTGTAAAGTAGCACAAAAACTTAAGTTGCGTGGTTCCTACAAACAGTCTCCAACAATACATTATACTTAGCTGTAGGTGCACACTAAATTGGCAGTACTTAAATCATACACTTTAACAGATTTATTCATGATACATCTGGAGATAAATACACATATTCTCCTAATTTTTGAATAACACAATTACTGATGAATTAATTTATTAATCATCACTCTATATTATCAGAAATTACAAAATAATGCAGGTAACAGTTTGGATTCCACTTAAAAAGAAATAAATTAATCTGGAAAAGACACATTGTGGGGAGGAATCAAAGGTGAAGACACACATAATTCACTGTACAGAGTCACCGAAAAAAAAAAACCAAAATATCACTTTGAAAATAATAATAAAAAAATTATATTAGACTAATCTTCAGGAAAGAGTGAAAGTAAAAAATAACTAAGATAAGTAGCCTGTACAAATAAAACGAACAGAAAGAATTTCACAACTTGAAAACATACATGACAAATTAAACCTCTTCTGTTCACTGATGAACTGAGAAAAGTCAATGAGATTAGGAAATGTTATAATAATAATAAGAAGAAGAAGAAACTTTTAATGTACTCTAGAAATATAGGAAGTTACAAAGGTTGTTTTATCAGTATTCACAGGTGCCTGTTTACATAATGATAGATTTTCGATAAAATGAACAATACTGGTATATGATAGATCAGAAGGATTCATTGGTTTACTTATATATAAATGATCTGAATCGATACGTACCAATTTACCCATCTCTCGGTCTACAATATAGATGATAAATAATGAAATGAGAGTTTAGAAAAAAAAATTTACGACTTCAAAAAAAATGAGATTATTTGAATACATGACAAAACTATGACCGGATTGAATAACAAGAAAAATATTTAAGAGTTAGTTGTTTGGAAGTTCTAAGAGAGTTTTGGGTGAAAACAGATTTACGATTTAGATAAAGAATTTTGTTTAAGCAACTTATCTAAGTTTTAAAAAAGTACAATTGTTTTTCACTTTTTACAAGGGGCTGAATAATTAGCAACTGAGATTCTAAAACTAATGATCACTATCTTAGACACTATATCCTACTCACTGCCTTCCTACAGTGGGTGTGTTTTTTACATAATTGAGATGACGAAAAGCTAGAAAACCCTGATTCCAAACCAATGGTGCACATGGGCTCCAGTATCCTGAGGGAACAAATGGCGTATGAACCTGTTGTTGGTCACCGGATACCATGGGACTGCATATCCTGACGTTGCTCCATTGCCTTGTGGATTAGACCTTCATATCAAAGGTTAGGGGAATGACCGCCTAAGAAATCCACCTGCTTCGGTTTGGGCACCCGGGCAGTATCACAGCCCTCACACAAAACAAACGACGAAATGTAGCGCATCCTTGTACCAATGTTTATGTGTGTTCAAATAAATAAGTATCTAACATCTTAATTAGTTCAACTAGTAACATTGAGCCGTAGCATTTACAGATTTTTTGGAAGAGGATAATCCGATTCTGTTCAGTCTACTTCAACTTCCTAGGTATCGAGAAACCGAAATTCGCATCGTTGGCCACTATAGGGGCACATTTTAATGCCATAATATCCCAATATAATCAGTAAAAGGACTTAAGTCCCACAAATCTATTAGCGAAGCAACTTCCGCTACGGTAGTAGAAGTCTCTATTCTCAGTGGTGTCACAAACTAATCTTTTTTTACATAACAGAATCAAAAGGTTGATGGAAACCAGTCCTAGTCTGAATGAAGCCGTGTAATGAACAATTCTGAACTAGATTTTAATGTAGCTAGTTAGTCAGTGCTTGTATTCAGTGAACTAAGAAAGTTCACGCACTTTCACTGTATCAAGCAATGTAAAACATACTTCATAAGGATGAGAATATTGAGAAATCCAGATTGTCAGCAAAGCAGCTTTAAATAACTTTATTGAATTGAAAGACATTTACATGAACATGGATTAAGACAAACCTTTAACATCTTCAGGGACAATTAAAACAGACCAAAATCTGTTGATTGGTGTTACACGACTTTCAACCATAGATAAGATTTGTAATTTATGACTATATGCCCATAGATTAAACCAAACATGGAGATCCAACAAATAGTTTGAATCTATAAAATAAAGATAAGGCAGTGTAAGATATTTGAATTAAAATTACCCTTTCCATACAACATGATTGTCATTTTTTGCAGTCTGTTTGATGAAAATGTTCATCAAATTCAGTTTCCCGACCTTCTAAAGCAAAAAATGCAAAAATGCTAGGGATACAATTCTCTACCTCTGCATACAAAATGTTGCTTCAAGACTGATTGGATTGCATCAGACCTAATGAGTTGATGTGAGAAAGCTCCCTTAGCATGTTTTTAGTTTGCATCACTTGTTGCGTAGGCGAAATGTCCGTCTGTCAACCAAAGTAACCTTTAAAAGTAGAGGATATTCGTAGGTCACCAGAATTTGATAACAGATACGTCTGTAGCATCGACCCCGTATGTTCAAGCTATCGAGTGAGCACTGCTGAGGTTAGACGCATAATACTTAGCAAGAGTGGAAAATCTATCGATGAGGTTGTGAATCTTTATCGTCTAGACAAGAGATGTTGGGAGGAGTAAGATTGAGCTGAAAGAAAGCTAAGATGACCAAACTAAAACGTAGGATCAGTTCATAAACTAGTTAAAGTGAGTCGTATTGTTAGGAGCACACTGACTGGTTAAGGTCTGCGCAATTATCTTAATTGATGTTTGGAGACTGAGTGACAGTGCTCAAAATCGATCGCAATGGCGAAGATTCATACTCCCTCTGTCTTCCCCTTAGACCTTAAATTTTAAAATTATCTTATAGTCTTTTTTATTTTTCCTGATAATTTATTCTTCCACTAAGAATCTTAAGACCTATTCCCAATTTTTTCTACTACAACTAATAGTATTATTTAACTCTACGATTCAGGGATTTGCCTTGATAATTTTACCTTGCTGTGTTAGTGTTGTGACAACTTGGACTGATGGTTAAAATGCTAACTTTTACACCACGCATGACTGACTCCGCTATTATCGGCTAAATCATACAAAAAAGTCGGTAGAAGTATAGGGATGAGTTTAAAACAACGATCTGTTAACTAAGATGTTATTTTTCTAAATCTATTCATCAATAGATTTGCAAATATAGATGATACACAGAGATTTATCGCAACTCCATTTGTCTAACGAAATAAGCTTCCTTTGAACTTAAAATAATTAGTTCCTACGAAAAAGTTCAAAGCTTTGACGATTCTACTGGTATTTCGTGGACATCATTCTGATAGATTCGTGCCCCATTCGAACAAACCGAAAATGATATTAGGACATTCGATAATAGGGATGCTAGCAAATCATGGACAAATATCATGGCTTTATCTAGCTTCTAGTTTGTTATTTTCAATTTAAAATCAAAATGAATGTTTATTTATAAGTCTTGTATATTTTTAGAAAGATTTTCACACTAAAGAGAGGTATTTGGAGAAAAGATATGCTAGTAAATTAGTGAAATTTACTACTGGTCTTCATGGGATCGAACGTTTGTGTATTTTTAGTCGACTGTAGAATCTTGAGAGTACATAAAATCTCAATTTTAAATAAAACCAAAGGTAGCTCCCGATTTTGAGTTTCAATCCTCGAAGAATTTTGTTTGTGTTAAGTTTCAACCCTGGTGATTTGAACTGCATTTGGACACCAACATGTTACGATATTTGTCACCAACATATACTCACGTTATTATTGTTCTAGTGATTAGTGATTTTCCACATTACTGAAAATAACTACATTTGTTTCGTACATTTTACTTTTTTTGTAACACTGCATTTAGTTCACAAAATTAGCATATTAGTGAGGGTAGATTTACAGTAAGTAAGTAAGTAAGTAAGTAAGTAAGTAAGTAAGTAAGTAAGTAAGTAAGTAAGTAAGTAAGTAAGTAAGTAAGTAAGTAAGTAAGTAAGTAAGTAAGTAAGTAAGTAAGTAAGTAAGTAAGTAAGTAAGTAAGTAAGTAAGTAAGTAAGTAAGTAAGTAAGTAAGTAAGTAAGTAAGTAAGTAAGTAAGTAAGTAAGTAAGTAAGTAAGTAAGTAAGTAAGTAAGTAAGTAAGTAAGTAAGTAAGTAAGTAAGTAAGTAAGTAAGTAAGTAAGTAAGTAAGTAAGTAAGTAAGTAAGTAAGTAAGTAAGTAAGTAAGTAAGTAAGTAAGTAAGTAAGTAAGTAAGTAAGTAAGTAAGTAAGTAAGTAAGTAAGTAAGTAAGTAAGTAAGTAAGTAAGTAAGTAAGTAAGTAAGTAAGTAAGTAAGTAAGTAAGTAAGTAAGTAAGTAAGTAAGTAAGTAAGTAAGTAAGTAAGTAAGTAAGTAAGTAAGTAAGTAAGTAAGTAAGTAAGTAAGTAAGTAAGTAAGTAAGTAAGTAAGTAAGTAAGTAAGTAAGTAAGTAAGTAAGTAAGTAAGTAAGTAAGTAAGTAAGTAAGTAAGTAAGTAAGTAAGTAAGTAAGTAAGTAAGTAAGTAAGTAAGTAAGTAAGTAAGTAAGTAAGTAAGTAAGTAAGTAAGTAAGTAAGTAAGTAAGTAAGTAAGTAAGTAAGTAAGTAAGTAAGTAAGTAAGTAAGTAAGTAAGTAAGTAAGTAAGTAAGTAAGTAAGTAAGTAAGTAAGTAAGTAAGTAAGTAAGTAAGTAAGTAAGTAAGTAAGTAAGTAAGTAAGTAAGTAAGTAAGTAAGTAAGTAAGTAAGTAAGTAAGTAAGTAAGTAAGTAAGTAAGTAAGTAAGTAAGTAAGTAAGTAAGTAAGTAAGTAAGTAAGTAAGTAAGTAAGTAAGTAAGTAAGTAAGTAAGTAAGTAAGTAAGTAAGTAAGTAAGTAAGTAATTAAGTAAGTAAGTAAGTAAGTAAATATTAATTTACTGGACCTAACTATGATGTATGCTACTGATATCCACAGATATAAGTACTATGTATCACCAATAGAAAGTGAAATGCCTGGATGCTTTAGGTTAAGAAGATCGAAGAAAAGAGGACGAAAACAGAGAGTGATTGGTGCGGAAATGAAGGAACAACGAAGTGTGAGGTAATTGATGGATATTTTGCAAGTGAAGTATTCACTGTATGGTTCTCAGATTTTACCAAGATATTCTGTACTGTTGTATTAAAATACCTTTGGTTGTCCCCTCTTAAGTTCTCGTTCGCTACATAACAATATTCGTTAATCTCGCTTTAGGAAAAATTTAATTGTAATAAGCTGGTATTACTTTTACACAGTTTAGTTAGATCCAACATGACAAACTCATAGCTGATACGAAAGAAAAAAATTTGAAACCTCAGTAAATAAAAAAGAAACGAAAATTATTTATTGTCAGTAAGCAAAATAAAAGTACGAACATACTTTTTTCAAGTTGAATAGCTTCAGGAGTAAGCGCCCATCGGAATGGACGACGATATAAAGTGTGCACCGATTGATTTCCTCTATGTGGTGTACTCATAAATACAACTGCTTGTGTACTGCTTGCTAATGTTTGGTAATTTACAGGATCTGTTTTCGAACTATCGGATAAAGTGGTTAGGAATGATGCATCACTACTGCGTTTGGACAGAAAATCAGAACAACTAGACGAATAATACATACGATTTTCAAAATATTTGTCAGAAATATTGGAGTTTTTATCTTCAACAAAACTAGGATTCGATATATTTGACAGATTTCCATTCTCCTGGTCAGTTTCGTGACAATACCATTTACAGGATGGATCGATTTTAGAAATTGAGGATTGAGAAACAGATGGGTTTTCTCCACTTAAAGCTGACAAAGCTGCATAAGTATGAGAAACGTGTGCACACTCTCTAGTGCTAGACGTGGTACTTGGCTCAGAATGATCGTTTTCCGATTGTTCGGAAGTACCATTGCTAACAGAATTAGCCAATCGAAGCATTTCTTTTACAAGAATACCTATTGATGGTGTTAGAAAAACGAATATTTCATATAAGTATTAAAAGGGTAGTAGTTAATAGTTACTTCCAAACAGTAATATTCAATTATTAAATTGGACAAATGAAATATATAAGACGATATACACATGGAGAAATCTTTCTTGGTTCCCAATATGTACGCACATTCTTAAAAAAATCAGAATCCATGAATTTAAGAATACAAATTGAATTAGTGTGGATCTAGACGACATAATACAGTTTAATTAGTGTACATAATGATCAGAAATAAACTTTGATACATATTCGTACGAATACATATTTTGTTTCTAATATGGATTAACACTATCAACTAAATGTCCAGCATCGTATTTATTCCACACGTTTTGCTTTTCATCGCAATCCCCTGAATCATGGTGATGTGAAGTGTGAAAAGTTTAATAGATATATATTTGTATCAGTATTATCGTTGTATACAATATGACTGAAAGTATTCGAACCTAAAAGAACCATTTTTTTATATGTTGCATGGATCGTGATTGACAACGGAACTCGTCAGCTGGTTATACCTGCATGTCAGTTTTGATATTTATATCGGAACCCTAATCCGGTACCTTACTCTTTAAACACAAAATCCATTACTCACTGAGCGATTGAGTACTGATGACTAAAGATGGAATGCAAATCCTGGGTTCCAGTGATGACCACAACACATCAAAGCAAGCCACATAGGATACACATATGCCAACAAAGACTAATCAGAATTCAGCTCTCCATATCAATAACTGGGTTATTTAAATCTTATTATCAATTTTTTGTACATAGAATGTGATTCCGATAGATCCACTACTAATAATAGCAGTGAACAAGCTTTACATGAATCCATCATTCCAAGAGTACATTTTTAACGAACCTTTATATTTTCAAGTTCATAATAATGTCTTAATTTAAGAAGTTTAATAAAATTTGTTTGTTTGCATACATATATATGTATTAATTATTTATAACTAAAAATGGTACTATTTATTTATTGAAAGCTCAACACTTCATTATTTCGATCCACACACATAACTTCTCCATATATATGAAATGATGTGTCTTACAGTGAGTGTCGGTAAGCAGAGTACATTCTAGTTTGTATTTAATATAGATTATCAACATTGAAAAATGAAAAAGTAAGAAATACAAAACTAGGACCAAATTTAGTGAGTCAATAAGTACGAGTTTCTTCTAAATTAAACTTACTACTAATAGTAAGAATACATGTTTTTAATCTTGATTGACGAGTAGAGTTTATCAACCAGTGTTCGTGATAATTTTCACATTCTGGGATATGTAAAAAATGATGAAAGTCTCGTTAACCATAAGTGGCCTAGTGTTTGACGAAATCTCAGCACGGTATTGGTTAGTGTTTGTTAACTTAAGTCATTTATGGGGTAGTTGAAATGTCCGTCCGCTAACCAAGGTGTGTATACCATGCAGTAGTCCTCATTTTATTAATGGTTGTGGAACATGGTCTATGAAAGCTTAGCTTAAGACATATTCGGGAAGCAGGTTTTTGACCAAAGGTTTCCTTGAAATATTCTCGTGTTTTGTGAGGCAAATGCATGACCAATGTTAAGGTTAGGCATAGCGGTACCAAACAGAAGTGAGAAACCAGTTGCTGAGATTGTAAGTCTTGATAAGCTGCAGTGGTTGGGATCTACGTTACATATGCCTAACCATAGAATAAATCGACGGGCAAATCTTTACTAATGTAGAAGAAACCTAGGAGCGGCCAAACCAATATATAAGAATCGGTCTGTGAAGTCACTGACTCCTGATCTCAATCAAACTGGTTTAAGAAAACTAAATGGTTGTGGTTCGTGCGATAACAACGACTAGTGGTTGGGAACGTTCGATAAGATAGCTCTCAACTTTAAGTAGCACTTCAAATAAAAGTATCTTTAAGAAACTGCAATTGAAAAGTGTAGCTCACAATATTATGAATGGATTTGTAATGGAGAAATGAATTACATCGTTATTACCATATGTGATGATACAGTTGAAGTCTGAACTGTATTGCAAAATATTTATTAGTTTTAACAATGGAACTGCTAAAATCCAACCAGTTCTTAATGATAATCGAATTCTACTTATCAAGTTGTAACGTGGTCACTATTCTAGGTAACTCATTATTGCGATATACCATCTTTGGTCTTGGGTGGTTGAAATTGACCGGTAGAAATCATAAAAGCTAAGTTTCATATAAGATGTAAACCGTCAGAGATGTGTATAAATTCTCGAGGGAAATCATGCTTTCTACAAAATTTAAATGCACATCACAGTCAGAGACAGTACCACTGAGCTATTAAAGTCCTAAATGATTTCCCGTAAACCTGAGATGTGTACACTAACTTATGCAATATTATTAACTCCTTAACGTTTGCTGAATCAACGTATTGGTGATGTATGAGAACTAACGCAAATTATATTTAATGTGAATACTTCTAGAATAAAGAGATAGGGCCATTTTTCCAAAGTGGATGAAATGCTCAGCTAGTTCTTACAGTTTGACAAAAAGCAACTTCATAAAGAACAACACAATTACTCAACAGGTATTTTAGGATAATTCAGACATATCAAATAGAATGAAAAATCCTAGACCATTAGACTACAATTAAAACATCACTTTAATGGAATGATAGTAATAGTAACTCCTTCGTTGATCAGCAAAAAAAGAGTAGCAGTGAAATTATGACAAAGTATGTATTATTTCAACAACAAAAAATCAATATCATTTCATGGGGTAAATGATTTTGAATAACTATTAATCAGGTTTCTCAATAATATGGTTAACTTCGGATGAATTTCCTAAAGTTTTATTGAAAAGGAAGTCAAATGCGAAGTTATACTTTGATGATAGTGAGTGCAGCGGGGGAGGAGCAGGGGTTAGACTGTAATCACAAAATGATAGAAATTAGGAAATGTAGACCTTTAGATTCCAAACCAGTAACTTAGTGTGTTTGTTCTTGTCGTAAAGAGAGGAGTATTCAGTTAGAGTACCTAGACTCCACTCATTAGGTTGCAGGTTTGAATCACACCGTATACTTTGATTTGGGCAAGCTTTTCATACAAACGATGTAGCTTAAAACTAAATACATAAACCTGTAATTTAAAACAATTAGTCCCTTTGACAAATTTCGATAATGTAATGAGAAAATTCGTTTTGCAATTGCATTAGCGAAACCTGTAATTTACGTTACAGTAAGGGACTTGGAATTGGATTCAGTGTAAGGTGGTAAGTACTCACCAGCGAAGAACTATAGACTATAACATAACTAGTGTATTTAACGATCCATAGTTTATAGTACTTACCTAGTGGATAACAGATTTTTGATAATAAAAAAATAACCACCATATACTACAACTCTGATGCTAATATTTATTTTTCCTAAAGTAACAAAAAATTAATTGATGAACAAAACAAAACCAGCAAAATATAAAAACGAAAGAAGTAGTAAAAAAAGAGTGAATTACCTCCAGCTGAATGAGTAATCCATATTATAGGTCGACGACCAACTTCTGCTTTTTTAAGTTGTTTCATTATATCTACAGCTCGCTCATTTAATGTACGCCTATTAAAACAAAAACAAAGAAAACACATTGTACTACAGAGACTGATTTTTATCAAATTCACGAGAAATAGAGAGTTGAATTAATAAAACATGAGACATTTTGTTAATATACACAGTATATATGATTAGATCATTTGAATAAATTAATTAGATGATTATAAGTGTATATGTTAAACTATACAGCGAAGTAGTAATCATACTTTACCATAAACTTTAAATGTTCTAAACAAAGTATCTAGTCAGTTTTGTCATTCAATATCAGCCACAGAAGGATTAAAGAGTAGAGCAAAGTAATCGTTAAAGCCGAATACACAAATTTATACTTGGTGTATCAGTGATACATTACAATGAAATGGGAGATCAGAGATTAAGAGGATATCGGCTTTTTTTAATTACAAGCAATATTACTATTTTATGGTAAGAAGAGTAGTAGAAGAGGAACACCTATCAAGTTTGCTAACCCATATAAGGCATTCATGAACGAGGAATAAAGAAACTTTAAAAAAGCTAAGCCATTACCATGTAACGATGAAGACGATAGAAATATTTACTGTTTCGTTTGAAAACAAACAGCTTCTTGTAGTAATGATACAATAGATTTTATGTATGTTTGAAAAAAGAAAGAATAAATAAGTTCAGTTCGATGCACTTGAATGTAATTTATGTACTTCATGATATCTAATAAAGAGAAAGCTATTATATATCGTTGATTTATTTTTAGCTCATTCATCGAGTACTTGTACCTAGTTATGATGGCTAGTGATACTATTCGGTCGCCCTAACCGAAGTACATGGAGCGGGACTGAGTGGATGAAAGTTGAATACCTTAACCACTGAGCCACTATATATATATATATATATATATATATATATATATATATATATATATGAGAAAACCAATGTCACAACCATTACTACTGATCACTTATTTATAAACTATTGGAATAGGTTTACTTCTAGTAATATCTTTGGACATAAAGAAATGATTGATTAGAAGGAATAATATGCACAATGCACGTTTATACACATGTTTAATGAATTCATTAGTGATTAATAAAATAATAAAGCTAATCACTGAAGAAAGAAGTATTTTGAATTACCACAACTCTTTTGAGAGTAAGTCTATAATCTAACTTCTAAATATAAAATAAACCAATACTTCTTTAGGTTGCTACAAAAAAGTTTTTCTTTATTAGTTAAAATATCAGTCAATCAGTGTTAATAACATAAACATTGTTTGGCTGAGGGATTGGTTCAAATTGTAGGTAGCATTAGCCACAGATTAACTTCATTTGGAGAAGTTTGGAAAATAAAAGAGTACTGGACAAGCATTTCAACTTTGCATAAACTCCTTAACAATGAACCCAGATGAACCGATCATGGTTTGAATCTAAGGACCCTAAGTCTTGGAGACGAGCATATTAACTTGAGATCATTGGACTGCCGGAACCCTCTATAATCTACTCACATGCAACTTCAGTTGATTCATGAATTAGCATTGACTACCCAATATTATTATTACATTATTATTATCATCATCAGTTTGTACTAAAACTGAGGCGTCATTAAAATTCCTAGAAATGAGATCACTACAAATCATTTATCAATATATTAAGCGCATTGTGTTAAATCAAACATAGAAATAGCAATTTTAATGAATTCAGTTTTTGAAAAAATGTCAAGTATTTCACCGACAGTTTTTTTTAGAATTGCATTTTACACAGGAAAAGTATAATAAAATTCTATTAATCAACATCATTAACAGTAAATAGTAAGGTGAGCTTTTTTCTTTGCATACCTAAGGAGTTTGACGTAGAGTGTAATGGATAAATCAAAAAATTTAATCTTCATTTTTTAAAAAACAAAACAAATACAATAAGTAATTTAAAGTATGATTCAATCATCAAGAGAATATGCAAATAATTAACTGATATCCTACAACATTCAAGACAATAGTTTGAAATAAATGTAGAAGTCAACTTTAGAATTCATTAGCTAATGAACTATAATTATTCGGGGTCTACAGACATAGTTGGACTGTTATCCGTTGCATCACAGACTGGTCGTAGTTAGACAACTGTCGAATCCCAGAAAGCATTGGACAGCTGTTTCGTTCTAGTACGGGGTATCACAGCAGTGCGTATTCACAACTCTATCGGAGACCAAAACCGAGACCTTTGGTCTGGCGGTGAGCGCTTAACCTCTAGACACATTTCAAAATGAGAAGTTTAAACATGGAGTTAAAAAAAGTCAATGGGATAGAAGAATTAAATGAGTACCTAAAAACATGTCAAGTTCTATATATATAGGATGACTTAATAAAGAAATAATGCGTATATTTTTACCCATTTTGATTTTGGGTAACATTACTTAACGTCTACAACTATCATATTTTTACTATCTTACAAAATTCAGAAAATAAGCCTATAGATTCTTACTAACAGTTAAAAAATAGATCAATTCGAATACAGTTCATCAGTGAACAAATACAGAAAACTAACGAAAACAGAAGCTTGAAGTAGATGAAAACTACTCTAATTATCTAAACTGATGAAGTTTAACTGCATCATTAAGTAAACTAGCTTAATTAACAAAAAATCTAGTCGATTCACCGTACGAAACTCAGGAAAAAAAAACGATGATAGAATATCTACAATTTTTTTCATTATATAATGTTAGCCTACATTCAAAGAAAGAAATTAAACAATCAGAAGTGATAGGGAGTACGTAAGTTAGCATCTTAAAATGTTGATTTGTTTTGAAACAAAACTACGTTAACCATTTACATCTGGATATTGGTCATACATAAACAGGATAAGATAAGACCGAATAAGAAAAAGTGTTCAGTCTATGAAATTTAAAATACCTAAGACCTAGAAAGAATAGTAACCAAGGTAGTTTCGTTTAGTTATAGTCTAGTTAAAATGATAACTGAATAATAATAATAATAAAATAATAATAATAAAAAATATATTTTTTGTTATATCCCAATGAGTAGAAAAATGTATTTGAAAGTAACGAGTCCAACCTTGGCATTGATACCGATAACCCAACATGTTTAGGTTTAAATACTGAGGAACAAGATTAGAACCACATTAACTGTGAGAACTCCATTACATTATTCACATATTGAATTTTTGATAAATTAAATACTAATCTATGATCTCAGGATATAGAAAAAAAATTCTTGTCTTTAAAATGGAAAGTTTGAACGTGTCAATCCCCCCCAAAAATAGATCATAACAAGGATATACTTTCGTGAAAAAAAATTATTTAGTTTGAAATTGCATACATTAAATAAACAAGAGAATAAATTTACCGTAACTTTTGAAGTGGACAAATTGAATGCCAAACAAATGGCTTCAATGACGTATCAACACCAATAATTCGAGCTTGCGGAAATCGATGGGAAAGCCAGTCCTATAAAATTTAAATAACAATACAATATTCATTATATTATTAGAATGATTCCTTCAGTATATGAGTTTTCAGTTAAATAGACAGGGAATTTTTGATACAAAGAGATGCTAAAAATTATTTATCGTTTTGTGAACCGAGTCTTCATTCTAGACAAGCTATTTGTTGTATTGACGATAGTCTTGATTTTCAGTTAGTTATTCGTTGGTTATATTTCGTGAAATCTACTCTGTTAGATTTGTTTTATGAGCATCATTAGCACACTAGGAGGAGAGTGAGTGTATGCGTAAAAAGTCGAAAAATATGTATTTTATGTGTAGATAGGTTATTGATCGTCTATGTTTACAACCAATGGAAGGATAGATCAAGTTGAGGTGCAGACGCATTATATCAGACTCTCATACACTTTTACATAGTAGGTTAGTCATTTAAATAACAGCAAGTAGGGCTTACTATATAAGCTTCCATTCATAACATACATAACAAAAACGCTTGTTTTTAAAGTAAACGTATAACTCGGTGTGGTAAATAAGCGTTAAATTGAAATGACAGATTGTGTGATGAAAAAAAAAATATATATATATATATATATATATACTTACTCTAGGCCAACATTTTGTATACTGAGTAGCATTGTTGGCAAGCATTGAATCATGCTGTCTCCAAGTGTAGAAAACACTACCCAACATACCGTTCACAAAAATAATATCAAAATCATAATCTTCGTTGATATTGCTATAAATAGAAATAGAAAAATGATAGAGAAAAATCATAAACAAATTAGACGTGTCAAGGGTAAATAACTGAAATATCAACTGAGAAATTCTATATTCAATCGTCAATACTAACTGAACAAAAAGAATGACAGAATCGTATGTCGTTTATTTAGCCCATATCCTGACTGTTTTACAACTTTTTTGTAGCTGTTACCAGAATTCAGTTTTCAAACCATTAGGAAGGAAAACAGAATTGAAGAGTGAACTAATTAGCACCAAGTATAAAAGTTCTCTATAGATTAAACTTTTCGAAAATCTATGAATATTGGAAGCATCAATAAATTTATTTAGAACAGGAATGAGATCTTTCTCTTATAATCAACAAACGAGTTATTGGAAAATTTATCGGTATGAAAAGGTTAATAACATGGAATAATCATTTTAATACTATCTCTTAATATCTTACATAGATCATTTTAGTGAATTAGTAAATTTCAACTGGATCACTGTATAATGCAAAGTTATAGTGGAAGTATGTTGCATAAAATAAGTGATGACCACTAAGTTTTATATACGATTCGGTTTTTCAGATTAAAATATATTAAACAGGTGGTTGAATATGTATTAACCATTTAGATTTAAGGATATTCTTCATTATATTTTCACAAGTGATCACAAGATATCACATGGAATGTACACTGCAGTAAATACCTTCAGCGACTTTAATAAAGTAAACCTGATATTTAGCAAATACGAATACCAGTGATATAAATATTATATTTACTTATTTGAACACATAAACATCGGTATAAGAGGGCACTAAATACAAATGCGCCACACAATAACAATGAGACCAGTGGTAATTATAATTGATTTGTGTTAAATTTGTGATACTACCCGGGTGCTCAGACCGAAGCAGGTGGTTTTCTTAGGGGGCCACACCTCGAGCTCCCGACCTGAAGGTTTAGTCCACAAGGCAGTGGAGCAACGCTAGGAGATGCAGTCTCATTGTATCCGATGACCACCAATAGGTTCATAAGCCATTTGTTTCATCAGGATCCTGGAGCCCATGTGTACGATTGGTTTGAAATTAGGGTTTTCCAGCTCCTCTAGTTGGATTCTCTGTGTTCACCAACCTGGTTAAAGCGCCGAGTATTCGACTTTCGTCCTCTCAATTTCGTAAACGCTACCGCCCCGAGAAAGTAATGAGTAAGACTTCCCTGGTAATGGTTGTATACGCGTGGCCACGTGAGGGCGTTTCGAGAGGGAGAGAGAACCCTTTTCGCCCTCGGCCGTACCAGGGCATATGGGAGCAGTGATATAAATAAATCACTTATTACACCGAAATTAGAAAAATGTCAAGGTGATTCGGTAAAGACTAACGGACCAAGGTTACAGGTAAGTTATGTTTGGAAATCTAAAATTGGCGTTAGCACCTAGGAGTAATGATAAGCACAGTCAAGTGAATGAATGCTATGTAGACCCATAAAAATAAATACTTATGAAGTTTTTTTACTTTAAAGATCCAGAATGTTTACTTTAATCCTAGACATTTTTATAGATCATGATGCCTATTCTTCAATCTTTGCAATTTGATCAATTTTCAACATTTTATTAATTACATTTTGGTAGTAGTGTGATTTGCAGTACTTGTACGGACAGATATAAATAGTATGTATCAGGAATTGAAAGTAGAATTCTTACGGACAGAAGTGGAAAATGGAAAGAGGAGAAAGAAAAACGGAAAGCAATCGAAATAACAACAAGAATAAAAGAATGGTGGAGTTTGTAAAGGATAACTCAAGGAAGATGGGCGAATAGTGCATTTAATGTATTCTTTTCATATTTTACAAATACACTATGATTCCGAATAATATAATAAATTGGTTTACCATAACTGAATCTTCGTTCATTACAGTAGTTTAATTGGCTTTAACGTGGTACAAGATCTCCGTGACTGGACTTTAAATTTTGGCCCAAAACTCCAATAGCCACTAACATAAATCTAATTGGTTAGTTAGTACAGTATATTATTACAAATATCACTTAAGAAACAAATACTGAATGAAGATAATTTTAACAAAAGGAAAAAAACTTTCATATTATTCGAATCAAAATGTTTACGAGAGAAATAAAAATGTTGATCAGATGAAAAACTTATTGATCGATAATTAACATCATGCATATAAAGGAAGTATATAACATTTCGGTGAAGTAAGCTGACAAATATTTACATGGTATAACCACCACTACTTATATGGAGTAAAACTATGCAAAAATCGGATCATACTTAGCTATGTCATATCCAATAATGAGGACATATCAATGAAAAATGTGCAGAATAGATGGAATTGTACAACGAAAGTGTAAATTAGTCATTAAATAGGCTTACAAGGGAAGCAAACATTTGATGTGTGTGTTTTCGTGAAAAACGTAGTAGAATCTTGTAAGAACAAGCTTATTGTAATGAAACGACATCGTAATTTAGGGGAAAATGTGCAAACATATATTGATCTTGATAGAATGGAGAAAAGTAGTCAAAGTTTATTATGTAAAATTAAACTTGTAAGAAATTATTAGCCGAAATAAGGAGATAGGTTTGATAAATATTAACCGAAGTAAGCTCGGTAATATTTATGATCTATTTGTAAATATTCGCCAAGTTATACTCCTAACATGATCAATTTAAAATTGTGTTTGTTACTAATCCATTAGTCAGGTACATATTCGTATACATGGCTTTGAGCCATAAATTGCATTGAGCAATTAGTTGAATCATTATGTTTTAAATGATTTTGTAATTGAATGGCATAGTGTGTTTTGTAGTGTGTGCTACTGATGTCGACAGATATAAGTAGTATGTATCATCAATCGTAAGTGAAATGTCTGGAGGCAGAAGGCTAAGAAGATGGACGAAAAGAGAACGAGAACAGAGAGTGATTGGTGTGGAAACGAAGGAACTGTCAAGTTACAGACAATTGATTGACGTTTTGCAAATGAACAATTTACTGCATCAATCTTTTGTGTTCAAATACATTTGATTGTCCCCACTGGTGTTCTTGTTCACTACATTATATTTATGATTAAATAAGTGGTCATTCAATTTCACATTCCTATGTACTGATAACAGACACTGTATAAAAACAATAGGCAAAATATGTATATGATATTGATCACAGATTGACCATAGTTAAGGTAAATAAAATGAGGTCAATAAATGACAAACACCAGCTACTAATGAAGTAAAATAAATCTTTACCAAACCCCTCCAACAAAACTATGCAGAATAATTAAACACGACAATCAAACAAGATAAACATTTTTATGTAAACTCACTTGGAATCATTTAAGTTATAAACATCTGGACAGTAGATAGGGTATGAATTGAGCGAATCAGAACATGAACTGTTAATTATTTTAGAATGAATTTTCAAATTATGATCAATCTTGGAACCAAAAAGATTTAAATGCAAACTTGTAGAAACTTTCCAGAGGCTGATTAATTTATTGATATCTGATAAAAGTAACAAGAAGATATGATCTTGGTTAATGCGTTGCAAGGAAATGTAATTCTTTGTTTGTGACACTTTTCTATCAGGAATAGACTACATTTAACTAAGTATTGTTTAATAACCATACATATTTTGCACAAAAAATTTGGATATTTTGAATAATAACAAATAAATAAGATTACCATTGAATTAAAACACAAACGAATACAGTTATGTCATACGTAGTAGATAATTTACATTGGCATTAAAAATGCAATGTGAAAAACGTTTCTTTCCAAAGTCTCAAGGTAACAGCTACATCTCTACAACAATTCTCGTGTTTGCCAGTTATATATTTGTGTTACCTACTACTCCATAGTTTCTTTTTAATTTGAGGGATTTTAAATAAACAGTGCTGAGTAGCTAAAACTAGAGAGAAACAGCTACTTAATAATTTTTGGTTTTCTATGGTTCACCAACTGGTGCCAGTAGTCCGTGATGACAAGGAGACTTCATGCACAATCTGTCCAAGATTGCTTCAGTGATATACTGAGGAAAGCATTCGTAAGATCAATAATCCACCGGGTGGGTAAATGATATTCAGCCACCGATATAAACAGTTATTGATAATTGAACATAATTAAGCCATTCACAATGAGGTTTGACAGATAATCTTTAAATGACTTTCAAAATATTTAATGAATTCAATATATTTATGTTTTTATTCCTATGGTCTATATGAATTCGTACAGAAGAAAAATTAAAGGAGAAAACTACTCTGAGAGTATCAAGTAGTGTGTAAACATCTTTGTTCACCCACCATATTAACCTGTAGCTTCAACATGATGCACATAATTCACAGAGATTACTATCAAATGCGAGGATGGGATCATACAGTAAACAAGTTTATGAGGATGATAAATTCAACTGGGAAAAAAACACTCAATTGCTTGTGAAAATATCAACACTGGGGTGCAGGTACATTCAGCTAACTAGCCTTAAATAGGACGAAACGATAGTCTTGGATTGCACTGTTAAATATATATACATCAATTCCATAAGAACTTTTGACTCATAAAAACTAAGCTTTATTATGTGCTAACAAGTTTTTATCAAGTACAATAGGAAGATCATGGAAAATGTCCCTACAATTTTACAATAAAGAAATATTTCACTTAGGTATACAGATTTAAAGATAGACGAAATGTAAAGGGTATTGCTGGACAATAAAAAGATTTTAGCAAAGTAAACAACATGTCCATATTCTCTAATCGAATTGAGTGATTGTTCTTCCTCACAAAACACAATCCTTAACTGGGTAGATAACTGACAAATTTTTTATGAGAAAATCGAAACCAAAACATTATGTACATTAAAATAAAAATTCACATTTAACATTCAAAACTGTGAGAAAACAAGCCAATGAAAAAAATACTTGTATTTACTCTGTGTATTTATGAATTATAATCATAACTGATTGTGTGACGCATAAACATTGGACTTAAGGTAAACAATCACTGTCGAATGATCAATATAACTTAGCACAAAGGTTATTCTTCATTTAAATCGATTCGATTGTAAGATAAACTACCACGATTTCAAGGTTGTTCACTTAAATAGTTGACCTACTTATATACAAAAAGTAACAACACTAAAATGTTCAACATTGCTTAATTTTCGTTAAAAATCTTTAAAACAACAGTAAACTTTGTTAAGGTTGGATGATTTTGAGGAAACCATTTGTATATTGTGACTTAAAGCTAAAAACCGATATACAACCAATGAACACTACATAGATACTGTCATCTGCTTTTGTAACCTCAAGAGGTGTCCGTCAAGGTTGTCCACTTTCTCCATTTTTGTTTAACTTCATCATAGACCTATTGATGGAAATAACACTCTCGTCGACTGAGTTCTCGGGTATTGATCTCCTTCCAGGAGGTCCACTTATCGACTTAGAATACGCAGATGACATAGTCCTGTTTGGTGAAGACGCTGACAAAATGCAGAGTCTTCTGGTAGCACTAAGCAACAATGCCAGAATGTTTGGGATGCGCTTCTCTCCCTCTAAATGCAAGTTGTTGCTTCAGGACTGGTCTGAGTCAACACCTGAACTAAGGATAGGGAGTGAAGTAGTCGAACGCGTTGACAACTTCACTTATCTTGGAAGTCTGATCAGCCCTAATGGGTTGGTGTCTGACGAAATCTCAGCACGGATTCGAAAAGCTCGTTTGGCTTTTGCCAACTTACGACACCTATGGCGAAGGTGAGATATCCGTCTATCAATAAAAGAACGAGTATACTGCGCGGCAGTCCGTTCTGTTCTACTTTACGGCAGCGAAACATGGCCATTAAGAGTAGAAGACACCCGTAATCTACTAGTATTTGACCACAGATGCCTTAGAAATATTGCTGGCGTCTGCTGGGATCATCGGGTAAGTAATAGGTTCGACGCAGGATATTAGGGAATGATGGTAAGTCAGTTGATGAGGTTGTGAATCTTCATCGACTGAGATGGTTGGGCCACGTGTTACATATGCCCGAACACCGATTACCACGACCTGCAATGCTAACCGGTGTTCGGGATGGTTGGAAGAAAGTTATGGGCGGCCAAACCAAAACGTGGCATCAGTGCTTAAAGTCACTAACTTGTAGTCTGAGCCATGTTTGTAGATGCAGACTACTTGGTTGGGGTCTGTGTGACTATCGTAACCAGTGGTTGGAGACTCTGGGTGACATGGCTCAGAATCGATCACAATAGCGTAGGTGTATACACTCTCTGTCTTCCCTTAAACTAAGAGATTGAAATCGCTTCATATCCTTCTTTCTACGAACTTGTTCTTTCTTCCTATACTATATCCTTATATGCAATCTTTCTTTTATATATTACCACCTCTGAATTAACTAGTTTTATGAATCCAGTGTCCATCTTGTTATGTTAATGAAGTATGGCAACTTGGACCGATGCATATATGTGCCTGGTCCTACGTCGTAGCTGACTGACACTACATAGATATTGTAATTTACAAAACAGAGAATTGTGAGTGTGTAATGCTGCAATGTCCCAAATTATGTCAATGAAAACTGTTCAGTGCTGTTACCTGACATTCTCTCATTCATTCTCTCTAGATGATATTATTTTGTGACGAACTTAATCTTCAAAATAAATAAACCTTATTGGGTAACAACAAATGGAAGAAAACACACTAAAATGATATTTCATTTACCTTCATAATTGTTTAAAACGGAACTTGATGGATGCTGCGAGATGTTTGCTAAAAAATTAGCGACTAAAAGATGAATAGGATATTCTAGATGAACATCAGGCAAGTTATTTACTTTTGCAAATGATGAATCCGTATTACTATTATTATCATCACAATAATATGATTCATTTGTCCATTGATCCACATTAAACAAGAGTTGATTTACTGATGGTGAAGAATGATGTTTATCAATGAGTAGTGTATTATTGTTATCTGAATTGTTTAATGCTGAAAGACTGATTGAACTAAGCCAATTGATTAGACGTTCAAAATTTTCACATTGGAATAAGTGATCCAAATACCTAAGATCCTTAAATGATTACAAAAATTAAAAGAAAACGGAATAAAAGGGAGTTCAATGTTGTGAAAACGACGTGAGATTGTGAACTATAAGATAAAATAACGACTTTAAAATATACATAATAAGAATTATTCAAATGACTTTGTGATATGTAATTTATTCAAATAGTGTTCTAAAAGCACAAACTCAAGTAAACATGAATGAATAGAAATGACGACAAAGAATCGATATCTCTAGGCTAAAACTATACATAAAGAACAGGTGGTAAATAGAAAGATTGAACTGTAACAACAACATATACAACTGACGTCAATAGTTTTGTTTTCTTTTTCTGCTGAAACTATATCTGATTTCAGGATAGCGAAGGAATTTAATTATTATGGAGACGGCTCAATGACTCAATATTGACAATGTTAACAATGTAATAAAAAAATCAAGTGATATATAAATGTAGAATAGATGGAATGTAGCTAACAGTAAAATCTAGGACGCACGTTTCGTCCTATCTGGGACTTGTCAGCTGGAGGTACTTAAACCCCAGGTTCTTGTAGTAAACAACTAATTTTCAACCGCGACTTCAATAACGTGAACGACAACATCGTTATCCCCTTTTCCCCTGTCTAGCTAACTAGAGTAATAAGTTCGGTTTCTTAACAGGAGCTTTGTTGGTGGTGATCCCAGTATAATTGAAAATACATCTAAGTTAATGGGTTATATATTAATGATGATTTATGAACTGAATAATAGTCAGTAAAAATAAATTGTGAAAATTCACTGAAGTAATGTGACGAAAATGTGTTCAAAGTTGACCTTACTTTCACCTGAAATCGATATTGTTCTTCTTCCTCATAGGTTGTATCTGGTATTTCCACATCCCTAATATACATAAAAAGGATTGTTATGCAAAAACTAAATGAATATGCCTATGTTAACGTAATCATGACTCTTAGGACTAGCTCCCATCAGGCAATGATGCCATCGTTAAGATCACATAGTGTATGATATCATAGAGAAATGAGAAATAACCTGGGAAGCATACGTTTGTAATATAGTAAATTTAGGATATGCTCGAAAAAATATTATTTTCTTTCAAATAATAAAAACTAGAACAATCAAGCTTAAATAAAGCAAGAACAAATATTGATGCAGAATAGTATGAATTCATATTATTATTTGTTCTTGCTTTATTTAAATTCATAAAGGGAAACAATCAAGCTTATCAGACATTATCATGGTTTAAAAATTACTATGACGAAAAAGTAACGACAACCTCCGTTACGTAATGCTCAATAGCCAAGTATTTCATTAGGGCTAGATACATATTAGCAGTTGGAATTCTAATACTAAAACCACTCCATCAAAAGTATCCACTCACTGATGTAAAAGTCATCTATCACTATTCATTCTGTAGAAGTAACGGAGTTAAGACTACGGACAAACGAATTTTCAAAATATGAATAAGCTGCACCAAAAATAAATACATCTTATCAAGAGCTTACCTTGCTGTATGAAATCAAAAGATGTAATATATAGTCTGTAGTGAGTTTTGGATCTTTGCTGAAAGACAATAAACGACTTCGTTTACGAGGAGTACTGTAAATATTACTGGTAGTAATTCCAGCCTAAAATGATTAAGCAGTAAAATTCAATGCAACAGATATAATGCAAATCTAATAACAGGAGAAATATATAGTCACGTGTTAAAAAAGTCCAATTCAAACACTGAGAGACGTCAGAACTTTATCGGTAAATAAAAGATACGGAAGTCATTAAATTCTGTGCAGTCAAATCTCCTTCTACTGATAACAATAATTTTCATTCATTTCAGTCGATGTTTAAATACACTTACATTGTGAGTGAACAAAAACACTACGCTGTAAGTACTATGACAGTTCAGGGGTATGGTATTTTAATGTATCAATCGATTTATCTATCTTGAAGTGAAAAGTCATGTTCAATCCTTTATTCACCTATGGTCTTAACGCCCGTTCGAATTTCACGAACTGCAAATGATAATTTATTACATTCTTTTTTAAGTAGACAGTTGTCACTAGCATTTATTCAATAGATTATTACTTCTTGTGACTTCAGAAATTATAGCATGATGTAAGCTTTTGGTGATTTTTGATTACTTTGCTGAATGATGCAACCTTCTTTACTCAATAATCGAAAAACTTAATTATACTGTATATTATATTATATTTAATACTTGAGGTCTTCATAATCTTGACTATACTATGAAAAATCACTTAATTTTCACTGACTCACTTGAATAGGCTTGACTGTCTTAGATAATTATGCAAATCTCCTCTATTTTACTAGACTACTACATGTAAAAATAATCACGTATAAATACGAGTTTATAGCTTCAGAAAATAACACCGTCGAAAGGAAACTTTTCTCTCAAACATCACTCTTCTTAATGAATCAATAGACTTCCTTCGTTTTTCTTAAGCAATTTATTGATGAGATTATCAATGACTAAATCTAAACACTAATAATGAGAAGAAAACTCAAATACAAATGTTAACACCAGAGAGACGTTTGTTCTACCGATTCAGAATGGAATGTCAAAAATATGTTGAAGGCATTAGAAAGAATTTCCCAAATCATTGAAAAGTATCTCCTTCAAAGAAATATATTTTGGCTGTATATTTGTGAATGCAAGTGATGGATTGTACAAAACTAAATTTCTAGCTGGGAACTTGACAAATCTAGGTTTTAAGAAGGAACCAGTTTTTGTCAAACAGGAACAATGAATGCACTGCAGCAATCATTTACATACTTAAGATGTCTTTATATCTGAAGTTTATCGATACAACTGTAAAGTGAAAATCAAGTGGTGCAGTGGCGAATTAATTCAAGTATATAAGTGATTATTATAACAGAAATTTATTCACATGAAATATTAGAAACTATGGTCTAAAAATAATAGTCTAGTCTTTGAACAATCCAATGTGAGATTATAAATTTTAACTATATTTTGCCTGGATTGACCTAAGCAATTTACAGTTTACAATGTATAAAATAAACAGTAGTATGTGAACAGTAATCCCATGTATGTTGAGGAAAAAATAGATATATACCATGATTTACATAGAATAGATGAATTGTAGCTAGCAGTGGTGGTATATAGGATATATCTTAGCTCTATTTACTACTGGTCAGCTCCATGTACCTAGAACCCAACATGTACTGACGTTCATATTAGGACCACAATCCCACTTATTTTTTTCCATTTTAAACAAACAGATCATTCAAGTTGTTTCAAACAAACAATTTCCGGAAATGAAATTTCTACTTTTTTAAGAGCGAATCATCATAAGTCACTTAGCATGTGAACAAGTAAATCACAGTACTAAAGTTATAATAATAGTAATAGTAATAATAATGATAGCAATAACAATGAACAGTAGTAATTACCTTGACACTTAAATCACATATCATTTTATAAAATAACCCCAATTCATCTGAATGAGTGATTTTATTGAATTCACTACATGGATTTGTTGAAGTGACATCGTCAGCCTCTGTAGACACAGCAGTAGCAACATTATCATCACCATTATACTTTACATGATGAATTAAATTATACAGCGCATTCATACCATTGCGAATTATGACACTACCCTTCAAAATTGATAAAGATGGCTATCCCGTATCGATGGAAATTGGGGGAGGGAGTGAAGAACAAAATTTAGAGAAAAACAGGAATTAATTAAATATATATCATATACTAGTCAAAATACATGAAATCATAACACTAATGACCTGATGATAGAGTTCAAAGAAATTGGTTATCACTTATCTGAAAGCAAAATCATCCATTTTAATATTTGCATAATTATAAAATCGATGACCAAAACATTTGAGTCAGACATTATATTGATCACTTTTAATGACCACTTCCAATGACAGTGAAATACAACATGTTATATAATCACTCTTTAAACAAAAATAAGTTTTGCTGACATTAATAAAATTAATGAAGTTCACAATTAATAAAATCATGTTGTTTCCCGTAGTTATTTTTGATATTATGAATGGATGAACCTTAAAGTTCAATCACCCAGTCACACAGAACAAAGGCTATTGCGCAAATTGTAGATCGCTGTAAGTTGTTTCACCCAATTTGATGATGAGAGATAATACAAGTTTAAAAAAGACGTTGAATACAATTTGATTGTTTTGAAATCAATGAAAGATCAACATAGAATTCAGACCTGATCTTTCTAGTTGAACCACTGGTGATTGTATTATTAAACCCCAGTAATTACGATTCTGATGAATAAATATCTTAGACAATAATATTAGTTAACTAGATTTCCTTGTGGGTATGACAAGAGAATTTTCGTACAAACCATGGATTCACATGTTAAATACAACTCGGTAATGAATAGAAAGGTAAATATTAACGGTGCTGAAGGTGTGTGATCAGTCGACACCTTTACGTCCCTCGTATTGCAAAAAAATATATCTACTTTAGGTATCCTGAGAGGAAAATTGAACTAGTATTATTGGTCTCATCGACCTGAAAACATGAACATACATCCTAGTGACTAACTTTTCGGTATCAAAAACATATTTGCATCCAAAATTTCACAATGAGCACCGGAAATCTGGGGAATTAGCCAGAATGAATTATTGTTAAGCGTGAACATCCTCAATACTTCATTATATATTTACAGCTCTCCAACCAACCTGCGTAGTATGGTAAAATCTGAAGGATCACGTCTTAATTCAATAGGGTTCAAACCCGATCACAGCGTTAAAACAATAGCTGCACGAAATTTATGTTATTACATAATAGAAAAATTTCCACATGTAAATGATATACAAGTTAAAAGAAATCTCACTAGATTTTGTTCCGAAGAATAATTGTCATAAGGTGTAGAAATTTCTGATTCATCACAATGTTCATACTTCCTTTTCTTATTAACAATAGTATTATGAATGTCCGAATCTCGTCTGGAAAACAATCGTGTTTTTGCAAATACATATGCACTGCAAGTAAAAAAAAGAACACAGGTACAGTGGTTTTATTTCCATTAATACAAATTACATTGAACGTGGGAGGTAAGTTAGATTTACGATTTTGTGTCACTCAACTCAACGTCTGAACGGATTATTGGTTTCAAGAGTTTGATAAAATTAAAAAAAAGGAAAATTTTAGTTTTTTCACTCTACACAAAAAAGTGTAAATAAATTAGTACAATTGAGTCACGTTATATGTTCATAAGGCAGTATCCCCAAAACAACGTGGAAAACAATTGAATCAAAGCAGGACTGAAAAGATGCTTTTCTTTGGCCGAATCGGTCTTAATATAGAATACCAAATGTTCAATACACCATTAAAATGTAGGCTAATATGCTTCCGATATCACATTCAATTGGATCTGTGTATTGACATGTACCTGAGGTAACAAGTATATAGGAATGACAGAGAAAAAGGTTTCTGCTAGATTGTCTGAACATGTCCCTATGATTCGGTATCTGAGCGGTAGTAAAATATTTACAAGTGCAATTACCGGGTGTCTTCTCGACAAAGGGCATAAAGTGGATATGCGTAGTACATCCAAAACAACTCACAGACAACCAACACTAACTTTATTCCATTTTGTGTCGACAATCGCTATTAAGGCGTTCCCGACCTAATTTATGTGTACAGAACGAAAGTGTGATAAACCCTTCTCCTCTATAGTAATTCAGTGTTTATTAAATAATCCTTTTATTGTTCGCATAATTATTTGATTGTTCTTAATCATGTTTATTAAGTATGTAACTGTTTTTCATTACGCTTATGTAATCCCCTGTTATCTCGATTGTGAATACTAGTAACTACAACATTACCCATTTAACTCGGAATTACTACTTTTCGACATATAAATACGTATCAACTTTAAGGTTATTCACATATTTTGTGTCATATTCAGGAAAATATGACAAGGACATTAAACACCCATAGATTCAATCCCTTACAATTTTTGTCAAGTGAAAAAATGTTAAAAATACTATTATAGATCTCATACTACGCAACAAGTTTCGGTGGAAAATTAAATCGTATTTTATGCTTATGTCGATGTAACGACATTATTCACAATTAAAATTGTTAGCACTTTTTCAAGTTACTTCAGTTATGTTCTGAAAGTTGTAACGGCTAAAGAATATATACACATAAATTATGTCATCTGATGTGTTTTACTGATAATTAAGAAAAAACCTACTTACAAAATCATAACATTCTTTTGTAAAAAGGAATATGCTAGTTAGAACTTCAATGTTTTAACGTAGAAAAAGGACACAACCTAAGAAGCATGATTCTGATTCCAATTGTTCTCATAATAACTTAATAGTTATGTCAGTTGCAACGACTAATTTCAAAACAAAAACAACTTAACACATATAACAAGTCCACACTATAATGACCAGTGATAAAGTAGAATAGTAAAGAAATGATTATTAACAATAAATACATTTCTTACCTCCATATTATACATAATGTTGATGTTGCTTTAACTGCTGTTAACGTAAAGAAAAAAATTAATTATGAGAGAGGAAGAAATAATTTAAAAGAAAATAACTTTATACACCATTTTATACCGTTTTTTGTAGAAATTAATCTAAAACCATACAGTGGTAAATCAAACAGAACTCTAGGTTATTTTAACCTTGTTAAACTTATGAAATCATCAATTCCTTAAAGTAATTGCTAAAAATCACTGTAAATTACTTACGCTATTAATTACATAACTATGCGATTAAAAAGACTACTTTTTAATATAAAATAACTAACCGAATAAGCATATTTGAGTAAATGATCCAATATCAGAGATAAATATGTAGGTTGACATAGGTGTTCACATCAAAAATGGTGCTCGCCAAAACACATTATAATGCACCGGACAGATAACACCGGATCACTAACTAGTCTGTTATCTACTAACCGTGAACTAAAATGTAATCATACCCTGAAGGTCACTCCGTTCTGATTGGCTTAACAAGAGGCAACGAATAATCTTGCACAGAACAATCAACACACAGATTACTGTCAATAAACCAATCGCAAATTAGTGTTTTTATAACAGACTTAAGAGTTTACATCAGCTGACGTGAAAAACAACAAATCATAGGACGTTGACTTAAGGTATGTTGAAACACATATAGCAGTGAAATATTCCGTTTATTTTTAGTATTGAGAAGCATTTTTATTTGCATCAGGTTTCTGTTAGATTTAAATGACATTCAGAGATAATACAAAGTGAAATAAAAGTTGAGAAAACGGTAATAACTATTTGTACACAGTATAAATAAATGTTTCCAGGTCAGTATAAACTTATAATGTGCGAATAAATGTAAGAAACGCAAGTTCTTAATCATTTTACCTGCTTGATCAGCCATTTTTATCTAAGCAGATGTGTCAGAAAATAAATCAAATCTTGGGTGTAGTGAGATTCGTTGGTATTTGTAAATGGATACGAACAAGGTATATATGCATTTAACAAATGTCAAGTGTACAACATATCAGCGTTTTCTAGTTAAAAACGCTGAAATGTGACTATTAACGACAACAAGGGTCGTAGAAATGTATAATTGGTAATCTCATAGCGTTATTTTCTCTAGTAAAGGCCTTGTACCATGCCAAAAATGAACTCTAACTGAGCTTCGATTAGGTAAGTTTCGATAAAACCATTAGCTGACTTTGGTTTGGACCAATATATTTCTATTTAAAAGATGACACAAAACGTGGAAAAATACTCAAGTCAAAATAATCTTGAAGAAATTAACGACAGATTCAATCTAATAGTTAATAATGAAACAACCCTACTTATTAAAATCATAAGAGATCAAAGCAACTCTAATCTATTATGCATTGATGAACATTAATCTATTGTCTAAGGGAGGCGTGCTTACACAAAATATTTATTCTATGGTAACAGTAACATTACGACACCTTCAAACCTTATATTTGTACTTACCAGTTATCAGACTCGGCATTCTAAATAACTAACTTCTATTTAGTCTGTAAAACAAAAGCGATAAGAGGAAGCCGTTAACAGGTAGAAGGATGTAAGACTGCAAGTGATATCGATAATTGACAAGTGACCCAGTCTAGTTCATAAATTGAATTGATAAAGTTAACTGATAGTATGGATGTGCCATTTGCCCGTAAATTAAATTGAGATGAAAAAATTATTGGTACTCTATAGGTCGGTCCTGATAGAAATTTGTCTTTTTCGGTTCGTTAAATGAACAAAGACGTGATTCCATCAGTTATTTGTCATTTGAAAATCAAACATATGAAGAGATACTTGTCAACTTCAGAACAGTGGCTGCGTGCTTGTATGCAGTAATGCATAACATTGTAACAAAAAACGTGGAGAATCAGACGGAAGAATTTCTACGGAGATGACATCAATTCCAAATGTGGTAACTGTTTAATATAATTGATATCAAGTTTATAGGACTAGAAAATTCCCATAAGAGCTAATGAAAAATCGAAACCAAACAGTTAAGGTACCCAGTATACAATTTGTGAGCGGTTGATTTTATAAAAGCTTCCGACCAAGCATGGGGATTGTTTAATTGAATTGAAATCATTGACCGATCCAAGCTAGACTATTACTGAAAACCTGGAACCATTAGATAACTTTCCGTTTAGTATGGGGATTAGTGAGTTTGATTTCACCTCGCGGGGTAGTGGATGTGCACTCCTGAAGAGTCCCATGCTAGGACGAGACGGCCATTTAGCGCTTCTACTTTTACAACGGTGGTCTAGCTAAGGTCGGTCCATGATTTCATTAGTATATTTAGACTTCTGAATACTGATGAGGTGGAACGTTGGGTTGAAATCTTTACCCCAGTTCCACCTGACTTAAAGGTTCTGGTCAAAATACTGACATACTTGATATGGGTATCAAATGTGATATTAGAAGAAACGTGAAGATTAAAGAGATTATCACTAGTTACAATTTTATTGGACAATTCAGCAGTTAATGTTCATTGAGTATAGATTTGCTTTTTTAAATATACATATTACTATAACTGAGTAACTTCTTGTTTTCAAACACGAAAATTTCTAGGGCATATATGTATGAAATAACATGAATGTTTCACGCCTCTTAATTTTTTCGAGTATTTGAACACAATGAGAAAAACTTGCTAAAAAGTAAAATAAACACAATACATCACTTTTGGTAGGTTAGTTCTTGTCTTCCCCACTTCCATGTGATCGAATGGTTGTTTATTAATCGCTTCGAACGAAATGAATCTTACAAGTGTGTGGACAGTTACATACTCTCATAATTAAATTGTTGTTATAATATATTGGTCCATAACTATTACTATAATACTCACATATTTTTCTGAGACGCAAAAGTTAAGTTGACCAATAAAGATGGAACAAATAAATAACTGCTTAATGTTATTTTTATACAAAAGACTGAATAGTGCACATATTCAGTCTTCAACACATTGAACCAATAGACGATTAGAATTATTGTTCAGTTAAAATTGTTTAACATAAAGTACAATAAATGAAATTCCTTAAAATGATCGAGTAAATAAAGATAGTTCTTCAGGTCTACTAATCACAAGCATTAGGTCAGTAAAACAAAAACTTGAATAGAACTGTTTTTATTTGCATACAATAACATTAAACATCTGATGTAATTTGCATTATTGTTCGATAACTGACGAATATGAATTATGCTTCCATTGGTTGAATGTAAAACTGATCGAATTGAGCTGTCATTTGGATAGCTTGTGAATATAAATCGCTGTCAAACTTTGTACTTGCTTCCTGTGAGAAAACGACGGGTTCCGCTGTAGCATTGATTTCTGTACCTTGTACATTGCTTACGCGACCTTGGACTTCTATAACTCGATTTTCTGGAGAAGCCTATACAAGAACAAAAATTCAAAAGTAAAGGACGACATATGATTTTCAATTACCTCAAACAAGTCATACTGACCATAATGAAAGGATTTATGAACATTTAGTAACAACAGATGCAATTACCTTATATATATATTAGGGAACTTGTACAGTGCAACTAACCACATAAAGCATATTTGATCTGTGACGTTGACCGATTATTACTATAGTGACTTAATCTTCGAACTGAAGACAACAGAAAACGTACTTACCATTTGGGACAGAAAAATTGGTTACCTGATATTCTTGATAGTGAAAAACAGGTTAAGTAATCAGCATATTTAATAACCGTGAAGTGATGATAACAGAACGAGAAAATGAGAATAAGAAACAAGATAATCAAAATTGGTTCAATCCAGAAGATTTGTTTACTTGGTATGAGTTTTTTTTATTTGAAGGAAATAGTAGTCATATATCATGATTCAATATACGCATGTATTTAAATACCATATAAACAAATTTAGTGCATCTACATAGATACATGACAATATAAGACGTGTGGACACATCTATATGAGTATAAACAATGCATTACATATGAAGTGTTACACTGTAAACAGTATTACATGTTAGTGTACATCAAATCAAATAAACATGGAACTGTGCTCTGGTATACTACCCCAGTTCTAACAAGTGTAATAGGCTTTTTCTTCAATAGGATCACTAAAACAGTTGTTATGCATTAAAATACGCTACTGAGACGAGATCAATCAGGCAAACAAATGTTTCTTTACGATAATTTCACTTCCAAAAGGTGAAAAAACTGTATTTGATAAGAAAGAGTGGATGTAGTGAACAAGATTGTCCGTCATCATGCATAAAATGAATAAACCAGTCAATCAGTTTGATCCAGATAAAAAATAAATTAAAAAACCAAAAACAATGTCACATGGGTTATTATTTATTATTAATAAACTAACAAGCTGGTTGTGAAATAAGGTCAGTGTTTATGTATTGAAGAAACATAAAGTAACACTGCGATATAGGATCCCATGTAGAGGTGGTAAATTAGTATGTCAGACAATAGTAACCCATTAATTGCACATATTCGGTCCGTGAAATCAACGGGTACTTACTTTGTCAAAATACCACCGTAAAAGCTAAACTACAAAAGCTAACCATCGGTAGGATTTAAATGTACGGACTCAATTTTTAAGAAGCATTAGTTTCGAAATGACATAAGAATACCTGAAGAGGCGAGAGAAGATTGCAATCGATTTCCCGCCCATCTGCGCAGCGTATATGTATTCTTTGTCCTGAAGGGGCAACACGAAGAGCAGTCCCAACTATACATACATCGCGACCTACTAAATTAGGAAGCATTGAACCCGTAACACGGAATCGAGCTGTGGGCTTTTGATCAGAAGAATCCTAAAATAAAAAGTAGTTAGTAACAATAAACCAGAGCCAGCGATCAGAAAGAAGAAATGATGAACTAATTATATTTTAAGAGATCTGATTACATTACACAGCAAAACCAAGTTTTCTCAAACATTCTTTATGCTCCATGATCACATCTGCACACATTTCTTCGCCATACATTAGAACGCACTGATCACGCTTGAGACGTGTTTCTGGACATGCACAACAGGGTTTAAGAGGTTTTCCTTCGCTGTCCAAAGGTATTTTTGGAGATTGATTGGGAAGGCTTTCCGTGCTCGATGACATTGTTTGAGAAAACCTACATTGATTAAAATAAAGTAAAACGTGTTCTAAATACATGAAAATTTGGGCAATAGAAGACCAATACACTCAAAACTGAAAATTGGGACCGAAATAACGTACGAGTGAAAAGTGTTAAAGAATATAAGCGGTATATTTACATTGACATTGAAATACCAGAACATAATTGGCGAATATTTTAAGTGAAACTTCTGTCACCGAATATTCTTCATTCTCGTTTCTATTTCTATGGTCCCAACGTAATCTGGCATTTTGAACCGCAGTGTGATGATTGGAAATAATGGACAGGAAATCCTAAACCCATGTTTTGCGCTGTTAGGCACTCATCAGTAAGGTGTGCCTGTAATCTTGGGAGAACCGATGCTACCCGGAAGATTCTATCCCTTGTTACCCAGCTTCACAGTCAGAGACGTTACTACTGAGCCATCCGACCCGTAGCTGACCTCCTGTAGAACTGAAATGTATTTACAATTGATTGATCATTGGTTAGTGACTGATGTCATATGTTTCACGTCCTTTTTAGTTCAGGTCGAACTCTATTGACCAAGTTGAAATGTGGCCACTAGTTAACTAGAAGTAGCATTTCGAATCTACTAAAACTCCGTCACTAATGGCACTTAATGTACAGACAACGTTGAATTTGGAAGGGAACTTCGGAAACAAAAGTAGACCTCTAGGTTTCGGATTCGGTTTTTTGGCAAAGAATAAAGTTACCAGTAAACAGAAGCATATGATTTTCATCTGACTGAACCAAAATATTTCGACGCGACTAGCCTCTGCCAAGTGACACTATACTTTAGACTGCTAGCATTAGGGTAATTGTAGACGAATAACTTAGTTAAGTGGAAATGAAATATCATTTATCCGTACATAAATGACTGCCACGACCGAAATGTATAATCAGGAAAAAACAGGATCTTTCGACACTGACTTTAAACAATAACGCTTTATCCACTGAGTATAAATGGCCAATAACTGTAACGGTTTGTAACATCATAATACTGATCAATCTAAATTAAAATGCCATATCAAGTCAGTCCGCTCGGGTATTGATCTCCTTCCAGGAGGCCCACTTATCGACTTAGAATACGCAGATGATATAGTCCTGTTTGGTGAAGACGCTGATAAAATGCAGTCTTTTGGTAGCACTAAGCAACAATGCCAGAATGTTTGGAATGCGCTCCTCTCCCTCTAAATGCAAGTTGTTGCTTCAGGACTGGTCTGAGTCAACACCTGAACTAATGATAGGGAGTGAAGTGGTCGAACACGTCGACAACTTCACTTATCTTGGAAGTCTGATCAGCCCTAATGGGTTGGTGTCTGACGAAATCTCAGCACGGATTCGAAAAGCTCGCTTGGCTTTTGCCAACTTATGTCACCTTTGGCGAAGGCGAGATATCCGTCTATCAATAAAAGGACGAGTATACTGCGCGGCAGTCCGTTCTGTTTTAGTTTACGGCAGCGAAACATGACCATTAAGAGTAGAAGACACTCGTAAGCTACTAGTACTTGACCACAGATGCCTTAGAAATATTGCTGGCGTCTGCTGGGATCACCGGGTAAGTAATAGTGAGGTTCGACGCAGGGTATTAGAAACCGTAAAGCAAGCGTTTGCTTGCTTGATATTATCAGGGCAGAAGAATCCCAGGGAGACAAAAGCATTTCGGTAGCCCAAAACTAGACATCTGATCAGTTTTCACTCCTAGGATTGGTGATATGATGTTTTCAGAAGGTACGGAACAAAGAGCAAACCGCTTAAACATGGACTTTCCTCTCAAGTGAAAAATGATTTAGATTCTCTACTGTTACGTATCAGAGCATTTCGCGTCTGATCTTAACTTCTTTTGAAATTTGACGCCAAATTGAAGATCAACGTAAGTGACTAGTAAGCAAACTGAACAGTTTCAATGAACTCGAGAGTTTAATTAAGTAGTTACTCTGCCAATGAAAAGATGGAAAGAAATATATTTAAAGTGTACATGAGACTAGCAAGCACTTCATAAAACGTTTTATGAATTATCTGAAAGATTTTTCAGGTAACTCTTGAGATTTGAATTAGAAAGACAGCATATGAAACTTCAAACACTGAAATTCAGTTTTAATTTTTAGTCGCACACTTTGACTCTGAAATTTCTACGTATACTAGCATAAACAATTCGGAGAGACCGTAATTTATGGACGGCCTTCAACAGGTAGTTACTATACATCGCAACTATTAATCCGTTTATTCCATCAAATTCCTATTGTGTGCCATTTTTTACCAGTAACTATTTTACTTAGCCTATAATATATTGGAACTTTTAGTGAAAGTACCGTAATATGCGGTAGGATGAGAAATCAACTCACAAGGTTGCGTTAACACTTAAAGTGCCCAGACTTTCTGCATGATTTCCTTTACAGTGCAAAATTCAGCAATGAATCCAATGTCTTTGTCGAGAGCTTGTATAAACCGACTACTTTTTAACGCTATCCTCTTTTTGTTTCGGTAAGGTTTTGTTTAATTCGTAATGTTCAGTGGGTAGCAGTCTCACCACCCAAATTCGCAAATTATAGCCAGTTTGATAGCTATTTGTGGATTTGTACGTCTTGTATTTTAAGTTAGTGCGTTCATTACAATGCAATACTAGCAGCTATCACATTGCCAGGTGGGAGATTGGTTGGTTGCAATGTGAAATGAAGAGATAATTCGAGTTCTGAGAGAAAACGATTATTCCAAGAATAATAAGTAAGACAGTTAATTGATAATGTGTGAGAAGATGGAGTTGAAGGAATTAGATGGAAAATAGAAATGATAATGGGAGACACAAGAAGTAGTTACTGAAATGCTGTAATGATGTCTCAAGTATTCGGAGTTTGACAACACCTTAACCACTAACACACCTTATAATCGAAATGTACAAACTAAGTCAAATTGGGAGTCACAAGTGAGTGAGTTCGAAGGTATATTTAATAGAATATCGATGTATTGAGTGGTTATTAGTCTAAGCCGGTAAGCAGTTGTAGGAGATGTGTAGCGCCGCTCGTTATCTGGTGCGGATGCGTAACGAACGCCTCCAGCTGTAAGAGTCCAGTAAAACTAATGCGGTCAGCACCAGATGCCAAAGACCTACAGAACGATTGATTTTGGGGATTTATTCTCCGATACAGCTATAATGATAAACGACGTAATTTATAAGACATGCATTGGACAAAGCTAGTCCTAGAGGAAAACTTTAATCTATGGGTGAATATACGTTTATAAAGTTTCACTTCAAATCTTTTCACGAGGGGGATGTTATCACATCGGCTGTCCGAGCACTTAAACTATGAGCAGCGCTTTACGAGAAAACGTTAGTGTATATTACCCGGCAGGATGCTCATGTTGAGGCGACTTGACATAGTTAACATTTTATATGTCATTACTAGATCACTTCTTATTCTCGTGCGGCCGAAGGAGAAGGAACATATGTGTTAAAGTCTATCTTCGTTGGACTTGTTCTTTGACCTCATAAACTACCTTATTGGCTGTTTCTGTATTTGGTTCAAAAGATTTACGTCCATTTTGAGGAGAGGTGATGCAAACAACCTCGGGTTGATTCGCCAAGCATAAAGTGATGAGATGTGTTTGCGTCGGCTGCGCACCCATATAGTTTGAGCTGGTGTCCAAGCTCTTCATGGTTACAAGCCTAATAACACGCTCTGATGAGACAGTTTGAACCTCACTTTCATGAAGAGTGTAAGTGATTCGTGTGAAATTATGTAGGATGTAGATAACATAACATTTCGACAGATTCCTTTTTCACAACTATGAAACAAACCTGCACATTTTTAGGCCTTAAGAGCAAAACGCAAGAACTCTGAGTTTTATTTGACTCTGAAATGCTATATGACTCTACACTGTCTTTTGAAATCGTTGATAAAGATGAGTGATCATTATAAGTACCCAACTTAATAGGATCAGAATTACAAGACTTAATATTAGTTGCAGCAAGATGTACAATAGTTTTACAGACTGACTGAATATGTCCAATACCGTCCAACATAAACGACGTCATTACAGTATTATATAACAGTAGATACGAGGAACGAAGTGCGATACTTATCATACGAGCGAGTTCACATGAGTAGTTAATTGATGCGAGTCGGCTGTCCTTGACCTTGAGGGGAATTGGTAAGATACTCGATATTCAGTAGCCTGATTGCCGGATGTTTTGATAAAGGCCATGAGGTTCCGACAACGACACTGTGCCATCAACATATATTTTTGAGTTGCATTTTTACATCCACGTCGTGAACTGTTAAAAGTTTATATTAATCATGAATAAATTGGCAGAGCTACATTTTTATTCTTAAACTAACTGGGTAAGAGTTTTTCTGCTCTTCAGTACAGAACCTCGCAAACTCCTTGAAAGTTCATTATTCATGTGACTTTAGAACAGGTTTTCTATAATTGTATAACAGGAAAGTATTGATTTCCACCTAGTCACACACAAAAAGTATACAATTGAGTAAGTTTTACAGGAAATAACGTGAGGGAAAGCACATATCGTCATATAAACCGTATTGTTTTTAGGGCTACCTAAACAGCTCAACAAGTAACGATACTCTAATAAGGTTTTATGTCTTTGTATTCCTAATTGCAATTTCAACTGATTTTCACTATCTTGTTTTACTTTTATGATAAAGATAGACCAATAGTGAAGAAATTAACTTTCTTTTGGATTGTCATCGTTATGTATCCGATTTAGGTGAGAAATTCTCTTACTGGCCAACTTTAGTGACCTTGAATCTGACTCCAGGTAAATCGCACAAATGGTGGTTAACAAAATATGCACGTCAATGAATGGATGTCTCCAATCCTCATATATAATCATCGACGTAACTCGCGTTAGTGTATAACGGAATTAAGCATATGAAATACGGGAATAAAGTTTTGGACTCGTATGGCTTGTACGCTCATTGATTTGAACAGACAATCAGAGGAACGAAGCGAAGGAAACGAAGAGGAGGGAGCGAAGCATAATGACGCGCAGTGGGGAGAGCGCGTGAGACAATTTAATTTAATCAAGCGTCAATCAATATTTATAGCCGGATGAAAATAAACTACAGACATGTGATGAGTTGGATAAAATGTGCACGTGCATACGCTCATGTAAAAACAAAATAAATGATTCAGTAAGCAAGAAGGTTTAGAAACAAGAATAACATATTTCTGCCTAGGCAGGTACACTCCATTTTCACACATGACCTACAAATTACAATATCATTTTTCTTACAGTGTGCTTCTTAATTAATCAATCTTAATTAATCATGAAATAGAATAAATCAAGTAAAGTAAGTAACAGTGCATTCGTGCAGATGTCTTAAAGCGTTAATAATTCGGTTTATACTTTAGTATTACACTGAGTGCAGTTTTGAAAATACTTTTTCACAGTGGCATAACGTCCACATTATACATCAGATCCAAGCTCAACACAAGTGTGTTGGTAATCTAGTCGTGCTAAATGTTTGTGCAGTACAACTTTTTAGAAGTTTTATTTGTTGTAAAGTAGATTTGTGAGGCGCTTGGTGGGAACCACGACTTCGAGAAAACGAGTACGTCAAGTCTGTTCCAAGCGTTGAAAGCTCAATAGCTATGCCCTGAGAGCGAGATTCTGAAAAAAAGGAACAGATAAGTAGCAAGGCACTTGGATATGAGCACTACACAATATTAAACATGTTGTAGTGGTACAAACTGAGGTATGACAAATTAGTAGAATAAACTCCTAATACCTCTTGTTAGAGTGAAGTGGGATTATAACTTACAGATGAGATAATGCAGTAATAAAGTACAATGAGTTAGGATTTTTAACGTGGTGGAGTAGGTCCAAATGATGGAGGGAAGTCGAAGTTAGAATGAGGAAGGATTAGTCAGAATCTAGAATAAACCATATGGGTTTAACATATCACATGACGTTACACTATCCCCCAAAACTATAAATATTGGCTTCTCTGGCTAGAAATAAAGTTCAACAAACCATTATATTTTAGCAAGTAAATCGTACTCATGGACAAACGGTACAGTTACGTGAGGGATTTATAAGTGGCTAAGCAAGCATGTCAGCGTCACCACTTCCTCTGTAGAGTCTCAGTTTCTAGGTTTCTGATATTTTTGAAGCAAGAGCCAGGAACAAAAATAAGTACTGTCGTAAACAGATTCTGAAAATACATTGAGACACATTACTTTTTTAAAACGCCTGGAAGAAATCGAATGAAGTATAAAATGAGACTGATTGTCAAAGACAGGTTGCGGTTGCTTGTAGTAACCAGAACAAAGTCAAAAAAGAAGCTTCTGTATCGGTAATCCTCAGCATACACAAGTAAAAATACAAGATCATCAAATACAACACAGAGAACACTAACCCAATCACACATGATGGAGAAACTCTGGGACAGGTGGAAGCTTTCACGTACTCATCTCGGCAGCATCATCAATGAACAAAAACAATTCACTGCGGATGAAAGGGTTAGGATTATTAAGGTAAGGGCAGCATTCCTACAGCTGGGGAACATATGGAACTCAAAAGAACCTTCAACCAACACAAAAGTCAGAATGTTCAATACGAACATCAAGTTAGTTCTATTGTGCGGAGCTGAAACGTGGGGAACTACTACAACCATCATAACAAAGAACAAGTATTTATAAACAGTTGTTTACGCAAGATCATCGATACCCGTCGGCCGGATACTATCAGCAACAACTTTCTGTGGGAGAGAACGAGCAAGCTTCCACTTGAAGAGGAAATTAGGAAAAGACGTTGGAAGTGGACAGGACATACGTCGTGGAAATCATCAAACCAAATTGCGATGCAAGAGCTAATCCCGAAGGAAAGCGGGAAGATGGAAGGACCAAGAACAAACTGCGTCAAGAAGCGAAAGCAGACTTTAGGATGATGGATAACAAATGGAAACAATGGGGAGTGGTTGCCCATGACAGAGTTCGATGGAGACTGCTGGTGGCCAGCATATACTCCTGCACGAGAGGTAACAGGCGTGAACAAGCAAATCATGGTAGCTACTTTATCATTGGAATTTCCGACATTTCACAAACAGATATTAGACCTGTGAACACCGGCCTGTTTGTAACACAAGAAGTCACAAAGTAAAAACCATCAACAGGAACGAGAATTGTGTACATTAATACACGTTTGTCCAGTTTTATATATATATGTTCATTGTACCGCTTTATTAATCTTTTGTTTACCTTCTTAGTAGACTTGGCAATTTCGTGAAGTTGGTACCATTCAGTAATCAAGCGAAAATATGTGTGATGTTTGCGATAAACATCATTAGATGTTTGGCGTCTGCACATTCAATAAGAAGTTTATATTTATATTGTTGTAAATAATTACCAATAAGTCATGAATTTATGTGTGTCCCAGTATTGTTTTGTGTGACCAGGGGATGGGATGATCAAAGATGTAACTATTTCCAATAGTGTACATCCATGTACTATGTACATGTTTTCACAT